TCAGGGGTTGGATGCCCTTTTCTCCTAAATAACCCGCTGTGGAAAAGCCATAACTGCTGGTGGCAGTGTTAACGGTGTCCCCACTGCCTCCTTGTCTACCCAGAAGTCTCCTTGATATCCTAGGACCCTTAAATTAAAAATATCATAAGTATTTTCCGACAACGTACTTTCTTTTCCAGAAAGTTGCTCTGGCAGTTGCCCGATTTTTCCCTCACACGGAGAGAGAGATTCAGTATCCTTGACCTGCAGGATTGCCAAATGTGGAGCGAGTTGATTTTCTTTTCTTTTATGGTTCCAGCTTTTCCTTCCTAGCCCCTTTTGATCTGGATGTGTGTGTTTTGCATTGGTTTTCTTGTCAGCCCTGGTGAATGCAGCGTTGCAGGCTGGCTCTGCCCATAGCCAGGAGTTCGATCCTGACCGGCGCAGGGTTGACTCTTTCGTCCTTTCGAGGTCGGTAAAATGAGGACTCAGATTGTCGGGGGCAAATAGGCTGACCTTGTCAAGCGCTCAGATTGTGCTGTAAAGCGCTATGGGGCTACATGTAAGTCGACCTTCTATTGCTGTTCAAATGGTCTCTAAACAAATGGTTGTAGGTCAAGGACTCCTTGTACACAAGAATCTAGTCAACTAATGGTCAGCACCAAATTGGTGCTAGATAAGAGTCAACGGAATTGAAGTGGAGTTGAACTAAGGCCAGGGGTCCCCAACCCCTGATCCATGAACCCCCGTCTATGCGCAAACAAGAGAAGCCCCATCCGTGGGATACAGGCAGCACACAAAATCACGCCTCCTCCCGTCCGTGGAAAAACCTCTCTCCACAGAACTGGTCCCTGGTGTCCAAAAGGGGGCCACTGATTTAGACCATTTGTGGGAACATAACGACTCCAGGCTGATTCGTCTCTTGACTCGGCCCCCAGTCTCTTCCTGTCCTTCTACATCAGGGGTGTCAAAGTCAATTTAATTGAGGGCTGCATCAGCATTGCGGTTATCCTCGGGGTGGGTGGGTGGGTGTGGCCAGGGTGGGTGTGGCCTACTGGGTGGATGTGGATGGAGTGGATGTGGCCAATAGGTGGGCATGGATGTGGATGGAGTGGGTGTGGCCAATAGGTGGGCATGGCCAATAGGTGGGCATGGCCAATTGGTGGGCATGCCCACCAATAGGTGGGCATGGCCATGCCCAATAGGTGGGCCTGGCCAGCTCTACATCGTTCGCGTCAAGGGTGCCTGTGGGGGCCTGAGCAGGAGTGGGACAGATCTGAGGGTCTCTGGCAGAAGGGGATGGGACTGGGGTAAGTGCCAAGGCATGGTCCACTGGAGGAGCCTCACTGCCTGCTGAAACCCCTCCGCTGGAGCCCATCAAGCCGGATATGTGAAGTAGGCGAGGGCCATTTGCTGGCCACTTCCAGGCAATGGTGCATTTCTTCATTCCTCACAAAGGGTGGCACCTCCCCAGCATGCACCCAGGGGACTGGGCCAAAGCAGCAGGGGCTGGTTCCTCACTGTTTCCAGACAGCCTTGTGGAGCTAAGACTGAATAGATGGCCACCACAAAATTGTACATTGGCTCCCAGCTGGGCTGGGCCAGGGCCAAAGCAGTGGGGGCCGTTCCTTTACTGTTTCCAGGATGGCTTCGCGGGCCACATGAAACCACTTCGCGGGCTGCATCTGGCCCCCGGGCCTTGTGTTTGACATGTCTGTTCTACATGAACGGATAGTTCCAGTATTGTGCCTTTGGGAGCCCTGGTGGTTAGCATGCAGTATTGCAGGCTGACTCTTCCTACAGCCAGGAGTTTGATCCTGTCGGGAAATTTTTCCTTATTTCTAAGTCGCTTCTCTCTTGGATTAGTCTCCATCCGTTGCTTCTTGTCCTGCCTTCAGGCGTTTTGGAGAATAGCTTGACTCCCTCTTCTTTGGGGCAGCCCCTGAGATATTGGAAGACTGCTATCATGTCCCCCTTGTCCTCCTCTTCATTAAACTAGACCTACCCAATTCTAGCAGCCGTTCCTTGTATGTTTTAGCCTTCAGTCCCCCTAATCATCTTTGTTGCTCTACTCTGCCCTCTTTCCAGAGTGGAGATGGAGTCAATGTCTAGTATCACCCAGTGCTTTCAGGATACTGATGCCTTTCATTGTTTGAGTCAGACAGGCCCTGGATCCAGCAGCATATGTGGGTTCACGGAGGGAGACTTAAGACTTCATCATCCCTTCGCTATTTTCCGAATGCCACATTTTCCAAGCCAAGTTATGGCTTCCCAGATTGGGACCTCTAGAAACCTTCATTATTATTTTTTTTCCAGACAGTTGGCTGGGAGCGATCTGCACGTTTTTGTGCAACTTCATTCAGGGGAAAAAAAAACAACAACCCAAAAACCCAGTTCAAAGGCCTTCTTCCTTTTGCGAAGAGGGAAGCTCCCCTCCTGTTTAATTTCTGACCACATCCAAAACTTTGGGGAGAGGTCGGTTGGTTTGGCTGACGATTGTTTACCTCTCATTTTTCATGTTTTCTCAGGATGAAAAAACGAGCAAGCAAGCTAATACTGGAGCTGGCCTGCTGTAAAAACCAGCACCGGAGCCAAATTCAATTAAAAAATTACAGCAGGCTCCTGTGGGTTGTTTTTCCCCCTCTGTGTGTGTGTGTGTGTGTGTGTGTGTGTGTGTGTGTGTGTTTGCGGCAATTTGTGTTGCTGCGACAACCATGTGCTTTATTGAGTTTAGCTCTTGATTGAGCTGGAAAGCATTTTTAAGCCCTTCTAAAGCTATCCGGTTGCTGCAGTCGGAATTAAAATTCCCCCGCAAACCTGGCCTTGCGTTAATAAAACTTTTGACCCCAGAGTTTAAACCCTAACTTTTGACCCCCTTCTGCTCTTAATTAATTAAAAAAAAAAAGATCCTTGTTCCTCCCACCCCTGTATTTTTCTACCCAGGAATAAGGAGTAAGAGTATTGGTGCTGTATTCTTGCACCAATACTCTTAACCGAGGTGGCACAGCAGTTAGGGTGCAGTACTGCAGGCCACTTTAGCTGACTGTCTTCAGCAGGTCAGCGGTTCAAATCTCACCGGCTCAAGGTTGACTCAGCCTTCCATCCTTCCGGGGTAGGTAAAATGAGGACCCAGATTGTTGGGGGCAATGTAAATATATATATACATTGCTTACTGGTGTACACCGCTTAGAGAGTGCTTGCACTTAAAGCGGTATATAAGTCTCATAAATAAATAAATAAATAAATAAAATAAATAAATAAATAAATAAATAAATAACTCCAGTCTGACTTTGGAAATTTCAGCAGCCATTGGCTCCACATGTTCAAGGATAACTTTCACAAGGATTTATTGTCGGGAGGGAAAATCTGGCAGCTATGCGCCTCTCTGTCTTCATCTTGCCATTAGAATAAGGGGGGGGGGGAGAGAGAGAAGTTCTTTTTTGAATGGGTTAGTTAGAGAAACGAAACCTCTCCAGTTCTACAGAAGCTTGCTGAAAGTGGGCAGCATGAAAACCTTTCAAGGACATTTTAGCAGGTGTGAAGAAGATAGCAAGACGGTTCCCAGAACAAAGAGAACTTGTTGACAGGAGCTACGTGGACATGGGGGGGGGAGGTGTTGGCTGGGAAGATCATTGTTTAGGGCTGGGGTCTTCAAACTTGGCCACTTTAGGACTTGTGGACTTCATCTCCCAGAATTCCTTAGTGAGGCACGCTGGCTGAGGAATTCTGGGAGCTGAAATCCACAGGTCTTATAGTTGCCAAGGTTGGGGATCCCTGGCTTAACGGCTGAATGATTCACTTAACAACTGCTGTCATTCGCCTAGCAAACATGGCAAAAAAAAAAAGATCCTGAAATTGGGCATGGCTCATTTAACAACTACCGCCTTGCTTAGCAACAGAAATTCCAGTCCCATTTGTGGTTGTAAGTCGAGGACTCCTTGTAACCTGCAGAAACGTTTTGTGAGAAGCAGGCTAGCGAGGAAGTGGGTGCGCTGATGTGGAGTGGATTCTAGCACTGATGATGTTACCTAGTTGGGTAATGAAACGTCTGCAAGAAAACCACCAAGCTCAGAGAGCACCAAGGACTCCACAGTTGTCGTTGTTGTTGTCGTTGTCGTCGTCCTCCTCCTCCTCCTCCTCCTCCTCCTCCTCCTCCTCCTCCTCCTCACAAACCCCCTGCCTTCTAGCACTGATGTTACCTAGTTGGGTAATGAAACATCTGCAAGAAAACAAGCTCAGAGAGCTCCAAGGACCCCACGGTTGTCCTCCTTCTCTCCACAAAACCCCTTCCCTCCCAGCACTGATGATGTTACCTAGTTGGCTCATGAAACGTCTGCAAGAAAACCACCAAGCTCAGAGAGCACCCAGGACTCCACAGTTGTTTGTTTCTTCTCTTCTTCTTCTTCTTCTTCTTCTTCTTCTTCTTCTTCTTCTTCTTCTTCTTCTTCTTCTTCTTCTTCTTCTTCTTCTTCTTCTTCTTCTTCTTCTCTTCTTCTTCCTTCTTCTTCTTCTTCTTCTTCTTCTTCTTCTTCTTCTTCTTCTTCTTCTTCTTCTTCTTCTTCTTCTTCTTCTTCTTCTTCTGCTTCTTCTTCTTCTTCTTCTTCTTCTTCTTCTTCTCCTCCTCCTCCTCCTCCTCCTCCTCCTCCTCCTCCTCCTCCTCCTCCTCCTCCTCCTCCTCCTCCTCCTCCTCCTCCTCCTCCTTTTCCACTTCACAAACCCCCTGCCTTCTAGCACTGATGTTACCTAGTTGGGTAATGAAACGTCTGCAAGAAAACAAACTCAGAGAGCCCCAAGGACCCCACAATTGTCCTCCTCCTCCTCCTCCTCCTCCTCCTCCACAAACCCCCTCCCTTCTAGCACTGATGTTACCTAGTTGGGTCATGAAACGTCTGCAACAGCCAAGCTCAGAGAGCCCCAAGGACCCCTCATTTCAACCCTGGGCTACAGCGATTCTGCTTTCTTGATGTGCCTTTGCCTTTGTAGCTGCACCCTTTGACGTCCCACCCCTGTTCCCTCTCCAGGTGCAAGACATCGCCTTCAGCCACGACTGCCGCTGGGTGGCCGTCAGCACCCTCCGGGGCACTTCCCACGTCTTCCCCATCAATCCCTACGGAGGGCAGCCCTGCGTTCGGACTCACATGTCACCCCGGGTGGTCAACCGCATGAGTCGCTTCCAGAAGAGTGCCGGGCTGGAGGAGATCGAGCAAGAGCTGACCACCAAACAAGGAGGGCGCTGCAGTCCCGTGCCAGGGCTTTCCAGCAGCCCGTCTGGGTCCCCTCTCCATGGTAAGCCTCCCTTTTGAAAACAGACGCGGAAGATTTGTTTGTTTGCTTGTTTAAATTGATGACCGCCTCCCATTCCTATAGATTCTGGGCAGCTTACCGACACAAATACAAAACAATGACAGCAGTTCAAAAACATACTAACCCAAAGAAAACCCGGACTAAGACAATTAAGGGTCTCCACATCAACCAAGACCAGAGACCAAAACTTTGTCTTAAGTACAGGTAATACACACAGCACATACACATTTTACAATTTTACATGTCAATATCAATCAGAATAAAGCTGGAAGGGACCTTGGAGATCTTCTAGTCCAGTGTTTCCCAAACTTGACAATTTTAAGGCATGAGGACTTCAACTCCCAGAATTCCACAGCCAGCAACGCTGGCTGTGGAATTCTGGGAGTTGAAGTCCACATGCCTTAAAATTGTCAAGTTTGGAAAACACTGTTCTAGTCCAAGCAGGAGATTCCATTTCAGACAGGTGGCTGCCCAGTCTTTTCTTAAAATCCACCTACAATTTCTGGAGGCAAGCTGTTCCACTGGTTAATTGTCCTCACTATTAGGAATTTTCTCCTTGCAGTAGATATACAGAGTGACAGATATAGACAGTAGATATAGATAGAGAGACAGATAGTGAGAAAGAAAGATAGAGAGATAGAGAGATAAAGACAGACAGACAGACAGACAGATAGATAGATAGATAGATAGATAGATAGATAGATAGACAGACAGACAGAGATACAGAGAGAGACAGACAGATAGAGAGAAAAAGAGATAGACAGATAGATATATGGATGGATAGATAGATACATAGACAGATAGATATAGATATGCAGATAGAGAGAGGGATAGAGATATAGATAGAGACAGAAAGACAGAGATAGATAGATGATAGACAGACAGACAGACAGATAGATAGACAGATAGATCTGTCCATCCATCCATTCATAATTAGTCAGCTGAATGACATTAAGGGCTGCATGTGCAAAATTTAATCTTTGCAGTGCTGGGTAACATTAAATGCTTGACAACCATGAATAGTGGGTGATATTGAAAGCCAGATATCTTAAATAAATAAATGAATTAATTTGTTTATTTACTTATTTACTTACTACTACTACTACTACTAATAATAATAATAAAGTTGGAAGGGACCTTGGAGGTCATCTAGTCCAACCCCCGGCTCAGGCAGGAAGCCCTATACCATTTCAGACAAATGGCTGTCCAGTCTCTTCTTAAAAATTTCCAGTGTTGGAACATTCTGGAGGCAGTTGTTCCACTGGTTTCCACTGTCTGGAAGTTTCTCCTTAGTTCCAGGTTGCTTCTCTCCTTGATTAGTTTCCACCCATTGCTTCTTGTCCTGCCTTCAGGTGCTTTGGAGAATAGCTTGACTCCCTCTTCTTTGGGGCAGCCCCTGAGATATTGGAAGACTGCTATCATATCCCCCCTCGTCTCTTCATTAAACTAGACATACCCAATTACATCTTACTGATTTATTTATAAAATGTTCTGTGCCACTGGTCTCACTGATCCAGTTACTCAGGGTGGCTTACAATATAGTAAGAAGTTTTAAAAAAAACAAGTGCTAGTAAAAGAAAAAGATAAAATTAGAAAAACTGAATAAAAAAGCTAATAGAAGTAGATGTAGAAGGTTGGGTTCTTGTGTCCAAGTTGGCAAGAAGATTGGCGTAGATCGAAGTTAGCTTAGGAAACGTCGATGTTCTTAATAGATGCCATTAAACATTAATTTGCCATCCATAAAATGGATATCGAGAGTCTGCTCTCATATTTTATTTTATCGGCCGCTTTGTTAGCATGTTTGAGGTGATTACCTCATAGTCGTACTGCTTGCCGGTCAAAGATGGATGTTAAGCATCTTCCTGTAAATAAAGATGGCTGTTTTTGCAAGGAAGCATGAAAGACAATTTTAAAAAAAGACGGACGCAAAGAGAAGTTGGATCCATTCATTGTTCTTATTGTTATTCCTGGACAGTTTTCAAAATAGGGTGATTGAACAATGGAACAATTTAGAATAGAATAGAGTAGAGTAGAGTAGAGTAGAGTAGAGTAGAGTAGAGTAGAGTAGAATAGAATAGAATAGAATAGAATAGAATAGAATAGAGCTGGAAGGGACCCTGGAGGTCTTCTAGTCCAGCCCCCTGCTCAAGCAGGAGAACCTACACCATCTCAGACAGGTGATTGTCTAGTTTCTTCTTAAAAATCTCCGACGGTTTCTGTGGGTAAGCTGTTCCACTAGTTAATTGTCCTCACTGTCAGGAAGTTTCTCCTTAATTCCAGGTTGCTTCTCTCTTTGATCAGTTTCCAACTATTGTTTCTCATCCTGCCTTCAGGCGCTTTGGAGAATAACTTGACCCCTCTTCTTTGTGGCAGCCCCTCAGATATTGGAACATTGCAATCAAGTCTCCCCTATTTCTTCTTTTCTTTAGACTGGCCAAACCCAAGTCCCGCAGCCGTTCTTCGTATGTTTTAGCCTCCAGGCCTTTGATCATCTTTGTTGCTCTTCTCTGGATTTTTTCCAAACTCTCAACATCTTTTTTGTGATATGGTGACCAAATTTGGTTGCAGTGTTCCAGGTATGGCCTCACTAGGGCTTTATAAAGTGGTACTAATACTTGGCGTGATCTTGGATTCTATGCCTCTGTTTATACAACCCAGGATTGTATTAGCTTTTTTGGCTGCTGCTGTACATGGCTGGCTCATGGTCAAGTGATCGTCCACTAGGACTCCAAAGTTCTAGATAGCTTTGATTGAATTCAGCCACTTGCTCGAGAATTATCACTCTACTTCAAAGACCTTAAGCCAAGGCTATTTATGAATTGCTCAAAGATACAGGATTTCCCATTTATATACATTATTCTACCTTTGCTATTTGTGGAGAAGGATAACAATGGCTGCAGGATTTTCTCTAACCAAATAATTGATATATATTCTGTCATTTAATGTTACACTCTTTCCCCCCCACTTCCTCTCCTTTTCAAATATTGGATTGCTAGTGCAGGGGTCTGCTGTGTGTCCTAATGTGCCTTGTGTATTGTTGATATAATAATAATAACAACAGTAGATTCAAGTTGGTTAAACAAGGTGTTTAGCATGTAAAACCTGATTTTTTTTTAAAATTCTGGCATACGTTTTGTGGACTAAAATCCACTTCAGCAAATGTATGAAATTTTAATTTGTGAAAAGAGAGAGAGAGGGAGAGGAAGAAAGAGAGGGAGAGAGACAGAAACAGAAAGAAGAATAGAGTAGATTAGAGTGTAGAATAGAGTGCAGAGTAGAGTATAGCATAGAGTAGAGTAGAGTAGAGTAGAGTAGAGTAGAGTAGAGTAGAGTAGAGTAGAGTAGAGTAGAGTAGAGTAGAGTAGAATAGAATAGAATAGAATAACAGAGTTGGAAGGGACCTCGGAGGTCCTCTAGTCCAACCCCCTGCTCAGGCAGGAGACCCTACACCATTTCTGACAAATGGCTGTCCAGTTTCTTCTTAAAAACTTCCAGTGTTGGAGCATTCACCGCTTCTGGAGGCAGGTTGTTCCACTGGTTAATTGTTGTAATTGTCAGGAAATTTCTCCTTAGTTCTAGGCTGCTTCTCTCCTTGATGAGTTTCCATCCGTTGTTTCTTCTCCTGCCTTCAGGTGCTTTGGAGAATGGCTTGACTCCCTCTTCTTTGGGGCAGCCCCTGAGATATTGGAAGACTGCTGTCATGTCCCCCCTCGTCCTTCTTTTCATTAAACTAGACATGCCCAATTCCATCAACTGTTCTTTATATGTTTTAGCCTCCAGTCCAGTTTCTCTTCTCTGCACTCTTTCCAGAATCTCAACATCTTTTTTGCATCGTGGTGACCAAAACTGGATGCCGTATTCCAAGTGTGGCCTTACCAAGGCATTGTAAAGTGGTGTTAACCCTTCACGTGATCTTGATTCTATCCCTCTATTAATGCAGCCTAGAATTGTGTTGGCTTTTTTTGACAATGGCTCATATTTAAGAATTTAAGCACCAGAATTTCTGTTGCTAAGAACTACCTGGACCTTTGAAGCAGGGCCCTCTAAACTTGACAACTTGCCATGTAAATCACGTTTGGACTGATTTATCTGTTAATCCCACCCCGAGATGTTTTTTTATTATTCAGTGGGATTGTCAAACTGGATTTCTGGACCAATTTGTCAGCGCCAACCAACTTGTCCTTTTGTGATCTTCTGCTGTGACAGAAATGAGTCATAGCTGAAAGAGTCATGTTTGGTTTCAGGAATTCTGGGAGTTGAAGTCCACAAGTCTTAAAATTGCCCAGTTTGGAGAACCCCTGTTTTAAAGAATAGAATAACTCCTATAGCTAGCAAATGAGTTTCCCCTTTGACCATGCAGGGTAAGCATTTAGTAAGAGATCTATCCAAGGACAGCTTAAAATCTTGGAGAACTGTGTTCCATGGAATTGCCTGTGTAAGTTAGCTTGAATCTTGGGACTTGAATTTCTGCCCAGGTCTGGGAAAAACAATTTGACTGGAAAAACTCAACATAGATAGTTCAATGGAGGCTCTAGTTTAAGAGATTCAAGGATACCCAAGGGACGATTGGACTAGTTATAAAACCCTGGTAAAACCACACTTGGAATACTGTAGATGTTGAGAGTTTGGAAAAAAATCCAGAGAAGAACAACTAAGATGATCAAAGGTCTGGAGACTAAAACATACGAAGAACAGCTGTGGGACTTGGATTTGGCTAGTCTAAGGAAAAGAAGAAACAGGGGTGACATGATAGCAGTATTCCGGTATTTGAGGGGCTGCCCCAAAGAAGAGGGGGGCAGGTTGTTCACCAAAGCACCAGAGGGAAGGAGGAGAAACAATGGTTGGAAACTGATCAAAGAGAGAAGCAACCTGGAATTAAGGAGAAAGTTCCTGACAGTGAGGATAATTAACCAGTGGAACAGCTTGCCTTCAGAAGTTGTGGATGCTCCATCACTGGAGATTTTTAAGAGGAGACTGGACAT